TGCCTGATGATTATGTGCAAATGATGCAGAGATGTTGGGATGTGGATCCATCAAAAAGACCAACTAGTAGAGAGCTTTATGATTTTGCTGAAAACAAACTTGAAGAAATTATTAAAAATAATAATGGTAATCATACTACTAGTAGTGGTAGTAATGCTTTGCAACAAGCACACAAATCACATCCAAATGCATATCATACAAGTAGAATATTAGATGGAGAGATTGCTAAATCTAAAAGCTTAAAAAGTAATGATAGTTTGTTAAATGATCTTGGTTTTAACCCTTTTCCCTAGAATGTTAACAAAAGGTGAATAAAATTTTTCATTATTAATCAATTGGAAATTACTATCTATTAATTATTACTAACAATATTAATTAATGAATTAAATTTTAGTAACAATAGTAAAAGAAGAATTGATGAATTTAATCTCTACTATAAATTTATTCATTATAATTATTTATCTTTTTATTTTATTTATTTTATTTCTTAAAGCTAAATTATAATAAACATTTTACAGTTTTTTTTGATTCTTGTTAAATAGTGATATTGCAAGGTATCATTCCGGTTAATTAACAATCATGGCTTAACTTTTGGGCTACTCTCGTCAGTTAATTGCAATAATCCGGTGCTTATCAATTAACATTAGCTTACAAATTTACTTTGGTTCCCTCTTTCTTTCATCCAAATGAATCTGTGAATGCACTTGATGGTACCAGATAACTGTAAATAAATAAAGGTGGCCTTTTTGCAATGCTATAAAGTTCTTTTTATTCACTTGATTACATTTATTGGCCGATTGCAAACTTGCTTGCAAAACAACACAAATAGCTTGTTCAATGGCCTTACATTTACGATTACAATAATACTACTTCATTAACACACACTAGTTAACCAACATTAGTCCAAATCTTTGCTTACTCACTAAAGCAAATTACATTAGTGATTGTTGTTAACACTCACTAGTTAACCAACGTTAGTCCTAATATTGCTTGTTTACTCATATTAATGTATTTTTTATTATTACCAATATCTACATCTTCTGATGTATTAACCAATAACCTCTCTTCACAATATTCACATTCAAGACAATCCGTATCAATATTAATCCATCCATATCTAGCACATTCAGTAAGACTAATAATGTTGGTTTGTCAACCCAATTTACTTCGTACACAAAATTGTATTGTTAAAGATTATTGTAATCTTGATCATAATAAACATTTAAAGGAAAAACAAAGGTTATTAATAATAATAATATCATTTATTTGTAAAGGATATAGAGAAAGTTTTAAGTCGATTCATATACGCTTTTCTACTTATAGGCATATATAATTTTGGATATGTGAATTTTTTCTGGATAGATCTATAAGGAGTATAGACAGCACGTTTTCTATTAAAATATTCAATACTAATATTAACAATAATTATCACCATATCTATGTTTATAAATTATATTAGTACATAACGAAAATTCAAATCACGGATTACATGGCTAATTTTCTAACCTTAATTCAGTGTTTTCTTCATCGTAACTTTTCTTTGATTCTTGAAGACTTTCTGCTAATGATAACATTGAATCGAAACTTTCATGAATATTTATATCGTTATATTCATTCTCCGTGATTTATAGACAATATTATAAATGCGTGTATTAATAATATTGTTGAGAATTGAAGAACAAATTTATTATTATTACACGTGATTAAACATGCGTAACAAAGTAACAAAGAATAGTAATAAATAAATAAATAAATATAATAAATAAAAGGTAAAATACAAAACGAGAATAAATAAAATAAATAAATAAATAATATAATGGATAAATAAAATAAATAGATTATTGTTGTCTATTTAATCTCTCGTCACGTTTCTTTTTCCAAGTTTCAATGATAACACTTTTAACTTTATCTTCCACCTCCATCCAATTTTGTTTGGCCAATCTAACAATTAAATCAACCTGATCCCTTGTATAAGTGAAATTAGCAAAATTACAAAATTTTTCAGTACATGGTATAAATTTATCATCAACTTTTGAATTTTCCAAGAATGGTAAATAAACAAATTTACAAGAATCCTTCCTGAACACGGGTGTAAACCCGTCACCAGAAATAC